TTTTTATCAGCGACAAGTGACTACTTGAGGGTTAAAAATACCAATGTGTTGACAATTATCCGGGCACCTTAATGTAATCTTTTCCTTTTTCAAGTGTAAAGTGCGGCCTGAGTTGCGAATATCCAACGGTGAATTCCACGGTCCTCTCGCGGTAACTCGATCCGTTTAGGAATAAATACAGCGACGAAGGGTGCGCGAAGGGCGGAAAGGGCGCGAGGGTGGTTTTCGCCACCCATCCTCGCCTCGGTCCGCCGCCGTCGGTCGTACTTGGACGTCCGTCGGTCGTCGACGTCCATGCCAGCCCTTCCTATTCCCCGCTGCGAACCCTATCGCCACCCTCCCTCCGCCGGTGTCGTAGCGCCCCCGCGTCAGAATCCAACCCCTCGTCGTCCACCCCGCGACTCCCGCGGCGGCCCTGGTCGAGCGAGCGAGGGAAACCCTTCCTCCCTGTCCCCAGAGCGCCTACGCCTCCCGCGTTGCCCCGGCAACCTCGGCTTGGGGTTGGCCACCACCGCCTCCGTGCGCCGCGGCTCCATTCACCGCGTCCCCTCTCCTCGCTCTCCTTCTCCTCGACGTGTCCTCCGCCCTCTTCTTCCCGCCGCCGTTTCTCCGTGTCTTCCTCTTCCTCCACCTCCGCCTCCCTCATCTCCTCCCGCGCTTTATCCCTCTCTCGCCGAGGTTGTTGCTTCGCCTCGGTCCAACCCTCGCCAGTCTTCACCCTTCTACCCTGGTTTCGACCTCGTCTCGTCTGGAGTCCGCGAGAGAGAGAGGACAGGGTGAGGCGAGGGAAAACGGGATCGGCGCGGTAGGAAAAGAAGCAAAGTGGAATGGTACAGCGGCGGGCGACGACGGCTCCTTCGGAAGCCAATCGGATTAATGTATCTCGAATAATTCATGCATATTTTCGTGCTCGCGCGAGAGCGAGGAAAGGCGCGCACTTTCGCGCGAGGCCGGGCCAATTTCAGCGAAACGGCGGAAAAAAGAGAAAGACGCGGACGGAAACGTGATATGTGGCGAGATTGCAGACTGAAATCGCAAATCTTCCGCAAAATAATAGTCTTGATATATCGACAATCTACGAACAATAACTTATTTCATCGCGCTACTAATTGCATTTATCTTTATACAATAATTTGAGAATAAATACAAATTTATGTAAGAATCGCGACAAGAGGCAATTTCGAGCAGAAATATCATTCTTCGAACTACAATACCTTTCGAAGTGAATTCGTAAGCGACCCTCTTCGGATGCTCCGACATCGTCGTCGACGAGTTGAACTTGTTACGACGTTACGCGATTCCTCCGTTGAGAGGGAGAGCTTTGCTCGTGTCTGACACTTTTTCGCCGCGAATATAGGGTGAATCGAATTGTCGCCGCGCTAAGGGCGAAAGGAAAAGGGACGGATCCGATTCGATCTTTCCGAGTGGAAGACTCATATGACCGTGTTGTTGCACGCGAAACAAAGAGAGAGAAAGAGGAGGGAAGGAGGTCGAAGGGAGTTAAATCGATGGTAAACTCTCTCTCCCTCTCCCTCCGTCGGCAGAGAAGAGAAAGGGGAGGCTGCTCTTCACGACACGGCTCTGTCTGCCGCAGTCGAGAGAGAGAGAGAGGGGGGGGGAGAGGAGAGAAAGAGAGAGAGTGAGAGAGAGAGGGAGGAAGAGGGAAGGAGAGAACACCCGAAACTTCGAATCGGTCTCCAACCGCCCTTCTCGCAAATTCGCCAGGTAATTCGATTATATCCGCGCCGCTCGTCCTGCGAGAGAGTCGCGATCGATAATACCCGCGTTTTGCGTCGGATCCTGCCGGTATCCGGTTCTCTCGCGGTCGGAAGGTATCGGTTTTCGTTGTGCGTATTCCGACCAAGGCCTCGGAGGAGATCGAACAGTCGATTCGTGGTTGGTTTGCGATAGCTGTAAATATCCGTGATCGTTCATAGAAAATTGGACTTACAAATAAGTTTCATCTTTTTCTACACGATTAATCATTAAATGTTGCAACGGGATATTTAATGATTAATTAATAGACAATATCGCGCTACGTTGAACATTACGAAAACTTGTTACAGAATCTTTGTTTCCATCTCACATTTCCACGAAGATTTTATCTAATCTCGATTCTCAAAATTATAACCGGAATGTATCTTATCGCGCGATAATTTGATTACACGGAAATGACCGAGTGTTAAATAGAGATAAAGAGGCGAGAGATCGGAGCCGTCGTGCGCGCGCGCGCGCTCGGTCGCGACGGCAAAGCACCGCAAGGAAAAGACACATATGCGCGCCCGGCACGCTTTCTCGCCGGAGCTATCTTTAAATAAAATATGTTCCGTTCGGGTCGCGCTGGCGTTACATGGAAATGCGCTATATCGGTACAGCGACGGCGGCGTTCCGGGACAGATAACCCAATTAAAAGCTACACGTTCACAAAGATAGGCCCCGCTGTTCATGTCACAGTTGTAGAAAGGGGACCCGTACGATGCAAAGTCAGATACGACGACAGATACACCAGCGTTGGCTGTACGGCGCTCTAAAATCGTGATCGTATTGAGCGCGACTAGTTTCCATCTCAGGTGTTAATTGATATTAAGTAGGATTGCTTAAATTTCGAACGCACGTGCTCGCAATGAAAAGGCACAAAACACGTGCAAAGCGTGTAAAAGAAAACGAGAGGTCGAAGAAATTTCGATTCGATAAACGAGAATACGGGCACGCGATATAAAAATCTATATTTTAGAATGCCTAGAATTGAATCGTGCTACAATTACCATTATTATCTTACTAATAATTGTTATCTTATCCTATTTATATATGTTTTATGTTACATTTGCTTTTATTTATCTTTTCCGTCACGATTAATGTAAACTTCCTTTCCTCGCTTACACAGCAATTGCAGCTATTAAAGGAAATAAGATTACTAACCGCATAGATAATACTGGTTACGAGTGAAAGTACAGAGTTTTCTTTGTGCTTTCCACAACAATTTCAATATCACGATCAAAATATCACGAACAACACTCGGAAGAGCGCGCGAGACTCCAACGGTCAATAATTACCATAATTATATTTTTCTAGTTGCTAATGTATTAATCTCGCGAAAATTGACGTGCGCCATCGCGCATATTAATTAAAACGATGCTATGCTGCATTCCACTAATTTCGGAACGTGACCGCGCGCCGCTTCGTCGCCAATATTCCCTCCGCGAGATTAAACCAGCATTGTCGATCGCGGGGCAACGCGATAGATCGCCGGATCGAACTGCCGTCGCCGCGTGCGTGCATGCATGCGGCGTTAAAAGTCCAGGGGCATGTAAATAGCGCACGACGTACCTGAGAGAGAGAATAATCACGCATAGTACCTACCTGGCTGCTGGCATAGCCGATCGATTACCGTATAGCCGCGCGGTGCACACGCCTGCCTGCCGCCACGTACCGCAACTACGTGACAAATATTATCGCGATCGACCGACCCGCTGCGTTTGATGTGGACGCGTTTATGAAATGCCGACACGCCGATAATCATGCGCGCGACCAGCGCCCAAGGCTAAATCCGATTTGTAATATTAATCCCAGCGTCGCGCCTCGCGTCTCTTTCTCTCTCGTCTCCGTTTCCGCCTCCCTTCACATCTCTCTTTCTCTTCAACTAATTATTTTTTTTTCCACAACCGAGGATCGGTGGTGTCTTGTCGAATTTTTTTATCACAAATCAAACTCTCCTACAATTATTTCAACGCGAAAGAGAATTTCGATGGCGCATTTCAAAAAGTCCAATTAATGTTAGCAAAGTGAAATATGTCAACGATACTGCGTATCGTATGTTACAAGTGTAAGCATTCGGGATACAAAGTTTATTTTCCCTTTGTCTGTATAAAATTAGTCGTGCGCGTGAAACGGCGGGCGTTTGATTAATCGCGGGTATAAATTCACCGGAAGCGTTGTTTTTCCGATTGAGATTGTTCTGATTACGGCGCCAACGGGATCGGGTGTCAACGATCTGCGTTTAGCGCGCGCGATAAACAGCCTGAACAAACACACCGGCGGAAAAGCCGTGCTTTTAACTCCGGCCGTACGCCGAAACAAATCTGCGCCTCTTTGTGAACTAACTTGTTTCGCGCGAGCTAGCAGAAGCGTTCTTCAAACACGCGCCCCCGACGCCATTATGCGGCCAAATGGATCGGTATATTTAGTTGACTTTGGCCCGTATTCAGATCTCAGCGCATACGAGATCCCCAACAGCCGGTCATCGCGGATTCACCCGTTGACGTTTAGCGTATGTTCGCTAATTGTCTGGCTCGCGCTATTATTTTCTCTCGATTTCTCTGGCTTCGCGAATGACGATATTAGCGAGCGTGTACGCTCGTCTTTCTATCTTTCACTACGGCGAGATAAACATTGCGGGAGAAAACTAATAAACCGTGCGAATTTTTAAGTAGCGGAGATAAACGCTTGGCATTTGCGAAAGTTCTTCTCTCATCGAGAGGCTTTTGCGCGCGCGACGGCGTTATACGCGAAATCCGCGGGCCTCAACCGACTAGTCCTCGGAGACGGAAATCCCTTATCTATCGCCGTCGCCGTCGTCAGGCGGAGGTACAGTCTCGACCGGAACCGGCGGATAATAACGGGGACGCTAATGTCGCGAGTCTCGTGATGACGTCTGGCAAGCACGCGTGGACGCTCGGAACGAGGAGGCGACTGTACCGTGTGTCTCTCGTCTCGTCATGCCCCCTCTGTCTCCTTCCCTCCCGCCGTCGCCGCCACCGCTCGCGCTCGGCCGCGCGTTCCCGTTCTCTCGCTCTAACCATCCCCGCCAACCCCCTCGCGCGCCGTACCAACCAACGAGCCGGGGCCGCTTTCGCTTTGTGCGCGCCGGGGCGGCGGTACATCAAAGCCTTCTAGTTCCCGCTCCGGCCTTTGACGGTCGCGTCGCGGCCGCTCGCTCAGTCATCGCTCGGTTGTAGGCGATGCCGGCGCGCCGTGGATGAGTGGCTCGTACGCGCGCGCGCGCTCGCACGAGGAGCGCGGGCTCCTCCGGATCTACCGCGGATCTTCGCCGTGCGCTGCCAGGTGATCCGCATTCGCATAGGTACGGGATCGATTCACGTTCGCCAAACAATGCGCGTATCCGTGTGACCGGAGCTCGTCGCGAGCACGATAGAATAGAGCGCGATGTCGCCTCGCGGTGGCAAGTGCGCGCGTGTCAGCAAAGTGGCAGCCACGAAGGGGCGCCAAGTGCGCGCCCAGCAGCACGGCTCTCCGAGTCTCGAAGCTGAAGAAACAACGACGACGACGACGGCGCCGACGGCGGTAACGACGACGACCGCCACAACGACAACGGCGACGTCGACAACGACGACAATGACGTCAAGCGGAACGGCAATCGCGACAACGAGAATGGACAAGCCCGCGGCAACGACGGCGTGCAACGAGGGTCGATCGCAGTGGACTGGGCGCATGCGCCAGTCCCTGGAGAGCAGCTCCGAGCCAGCCCGTGAAAACGGTGCCCCGGTGCATCGTTATCCGGAGAGGCAACGACGACGGGAGAGACACGCCGCGGGGAGGAAGCATCGACCGCCAACGAGAAACGCCGACGAAAACGCCACCGTCGCCTCCTCGTGCTCAACGTCGTCGTCCACGTCGTTGTCGTCGCCGTCCTCTTGCGCGTCCTCGCGCCGTTCGACCTCCCCACCGTCGTGTGCCTCGTCCCCGGCGCGATCTTCCACCTCGTCGTCGGTCACGAGCGATCCGCTAGCGATCAAATTAGCGGCCGGGGACAGTCGTCGAAAGAGCGACCATCACGGCGACGAGGGACTCGCGAAGCGGAAGCGGAACGCCGCGGGAGCAAGAAGGAACAACGACGGGACGGTTCATGGATCGACAGAGACGACCACGTCGGTCTCGACTTCCTCCTCAACAACTGTGTCTTCCCCTTCGCCGTTCCCCTCTCCGGTGTCCACGTCCTCCGCGTCTTGTCGGACGACGGCGGCGACGACGGCGACGCCGCCGCGCGCCGCCTCATCTACATCCGCCATCGAGAGGCTAAGGAACGCCTTGGAGAACTACGATCGCAGCCGGATTTACCTCGCCCACGTTTGTTACCTGGACTGGCGGGACCTGCCGGGTAAACGACGCGGCGGCGGCGGCGGCGATCGCGACGCAACGAGACGCTGCGAACGGGTGTGGGTGGTGGGGGCGGCGGATCACGAAGGTCACCATCGGACGCGATTGTTGGTGGCCGGTCGCCACTGGCGTCCACGTTGCCTACGCAGGGTCAACATGCTCAATCAGCCTGTGGTTTACGCCGGCGGCGGCAGGGGTTCTCTAACGGCCGATCTCTTTCTCTGGTGGTTTCACCGTGAGTTCGCCGTCACGGCAATGGCGATGCATCCGGACGGCGCCGTGCTGGTGGCCGAGAGTGCCGATTATCTGCCGCCGGAGGGTGATTGCGTCGCCGCGGACGGCCTAGTGCGACTCTTCGTCGTACCGAAGGACTGCATGGAGACACGACTGGTCGTCCGGGAGCTGAGAGTGCGATTGGCCACCGGAATATTGTCGAGAGCGCGTTCCGGTGTTTACTGCGATAAATCCAACACCTCAAGCTCGCCCGCGGAAGGGAGCAGCAGCGATCATCGGCTGGACGCGTACCTGAAGAAGTTCACGCTGAAGGAGGCGTTCGCGGACCTGCATCGCGCCTGGCTCAGCGTCCGATCGGAGACCTTCGCGCGCAGCTGGACATTGCCGCGCGCCGATCGCGAGGATCATCCGCTGACGGGGTGCAACGGCGCCATATTGCCGCACAGAATCCACGCGGTGGATCAGGAAGAGGATAGGATGCTGCTCGTCGAGCTGCAGGGTCTCGCCAGGGAGGTCGGACTGAAGGTCGGCGACGACGATCTCGGCAACTGGATCGTCGACGAGGAGAGCGCGCTGGCGCGTCTCGTCAAGAAGAGAGAACCAGACGAGGAGCAGCAGCAGCACTGCCGAGTGAAGATCGAGGCGGAGGACAGATGGTCGGATCGCAACGGCGACGAGGATGAGGACGGGCACGACGGCGGCACCGAGGAGGACGACGGCGAAGACGAGACCACCGCCGAAGAGGCTGTCGGCTTACTCTCGAGAGTGCTAACCTGGATGGAAAGGGAACCCCTTGATCCGGGACTCCTGCTTGCGGTCAGATCGATGCGCGATACCGCCGCACTTATGGTAAGCACCGCTGCTGATAAGAGACAACCACTCGAGAGTGCGAGAGAGAGAGAGAGAAAGAGAAAGCCTCTATATCGATCGCCCGCGAACCGAGGAGAAGCAGGAGATGGAGAACGACGAGAGACACGAGGGAGAGGAGAGGGAAACGGCGCGCGCGATCTTGCGAGCTCGCGCGAACAGATTGAACTAATTTCATCGACTGTCACTTGACAAAGGGCGGCCAGAGGGGGGGGGGAGATATAAGGGAAGGTCGAAGAAGTGGTAGGTGGGTTACGTAGCTGCCGTCGAGGAGGGCACTCGAATTCGACGATACGATTCGAGGCGGACGAACGGAAAGGTCGAACGAGCCCTCGAGCCTCGAGAAGTACATCCCGCCCTCCGCAAACCCGCGTTCGTATCCCGTCTTTGCAAATTAACGTTCGAGCTGGTCCTCGATAAGCGCTCCCCTTCCGGCTGGAATCGAATTGGATATCGCGTTCCTTTTGAGAGCCGGCGACTGTAAATCCTCCGACGTTATCCTTGCGCCTTTCACGCCACTGCCGTTGCCCGCGTAAACATGGTCGTGCGATCGGCGTTCACTCCCAAATGCGCGCGCGGCGCACGTTTTGTCATGCGTGCATCGTAAAGCGAGTCCTATCGCACATTGTGAATAAAAAAATGACTAGGCATAAAGATAAGAGTTAATGATTGTCGGGCGGAAACGCCCAGGTGATAAGGGTTATTATTGTGTGCATTACTATGTGCATAATGCATTATTAAGAGGCGAGGCGATTCAGAGATATCAAATACTCCAATTCAACATTTGCACTATGCATATGTATGCTTTACACACGATATTCGCCACCTTTATAGATTTATGCTTTCGTCGCTGTTGTACGTGACTCAACAATTATAATTCTAAACTATCCGTTTGTTCTTTATTCACTAACTAAATTAAAGTGACATGATCACACCGAAGTATCGATATACTTCGGCCGAGATATTATCAGATATCCCCGTGTAAGGCGAGCCGCTCAGCATATTAACATTCATTTACTTTTATTGTTGTGCAGGCAAGTAAGATGGGCTTGGCGGGAACGCATCCAGGCGGTCTGCCCTTCTTCTGTCCGAACGGGGACCACCTGACGCAACCGCCACCCGCCCATATGGGCATACCGCCGTACGGAGCGCTAGAAGCAAACAAAGCGGCTGCCGCAGCTGGTGAGTACTATTGTCGACTATCAGTCGCTTATCAGTAGCGACATGTACACCTAGAAATATCTAGAAACAATTCTGCTGGCGCGACAATCTCCACAGATTAACCTCCCTTCCTACCGTCTGACCTTGCTGATAATCTTTTTCATTCGAATTGAGTCGCGAAAATCTACTGAGAGTCGCATATCAGTTTGTTTGATAATTAAGATTTTTCGTGACATGAAAAATTAGTTATCGTATTAATCTTTAAAGAATATTCTGAAACAATTGCTTAAATGAAAATAAAATTTACAGTCATAGTGTGTATTCTTAAATAATATATTAATTTACAATCGTTATTGTCACGTCTTTTGTAATTTTTGTATAATTAAATAGAATTATAGATTAAAAGTTTTAGGAATTTTAGGTTTTAGAAAAGTTATTTAGGAATAATGTGCGGAATTAGAAATTTATTTTTCATGCATTTGATCTATTTGCTGACAATAGATTTTAGTATTTTTGTTATATTTCATAAATTAAATCACAAGTGAAACGGCAGAGAAATCACATTCGAGTTCAACTAGGCGAGAGGTGGAGGTTTGCTATTAAATCTCGTACATATAAATATAAGATGAACTTTTTCTTATCCGCTTGAGTATATATAGTGCAAGCTCTTTGTAAAGTACAGTATTTTTATAAAAAGATTAGTTTTTTTTATAAAGTGCCGAGTTTTTGTAGGATAGCATTTTATAAAAATATAATCTTTTAAATGTACAAAGAGTTTTCACATATATACTAGAACTATAAATCTAAATTAAATGGGCAATATTCACACTAAATAAATATTTAATTATTTTGAATTTACTATTTATTAAATATTTCAGAATTTTGTTGGTACTTATTAATATCGATTTAATTTACCAACATTATTATTAACATCGATTTATGCCAAAATTAAAAAAAAATTAATAATTACAGTCGTGTACACTCTCATAAAATACGAAAAGAATCGCTTTCATGAGAGTAATGTGAAACCAACAGTAGTTCTCTTGTGTGTTCTTAAATAGTATTATTAATTGTATATATGTATTTATCACATTTGATAAAATATCCGGCTATACACAATCGCAAATATATAATCCATTAATAATTCGATAAAATTTCACTCGACGCACACTTCCGACGAAACATGAACTTTGAACTAGCGACGATACATTACATGTTCCGGATACCGATTCAACCGATACGCCCCCGACGCGTATCGGTTGAATCAACAATTCTTTCACGAAGTTAATCCGCTATTGTCCGGCCAAATATTGACGTTCCTCTCGAATTGTAATTGATGGAATACTTCTCGTCCCGCTCGCGTAATCGACACGCTCCGCCCCGTCGAGAGAGCTTTATATATAATTTTATTGTATCGAGCTGCGCAAATATTAACATGGCCGTAGCGAGCCCGATCCAAACGAGTCCGGCGTGTACTCGGCTTTTGCGCAAACCGTTCGCGACCGTGTTAACGCACGTTAACTTTTGTCACAGCGATTTGATGGACGAAATATCGAATTGCAATTAACGATACGTTATGAATAAATCCGCGGTGGACAAGAGAGCGATTCGTATTCGCATCAGCGCTGGTATCCGAGTGTTCAAGCCTCTGAATACACGAATACGCGTGTACAGAGTGGCGTCACAGAGAGACATGGAAATGTCTGTTGTCGAGCGCGTTCGATCTCTCTTTACGGCTAATCGCGAGCGTATTCTCGATGGCGGTCCTCGAGTCGAGTTAAAAGGCCGGTAGACGTGCAAGCGCCGATACTCCGTCTCCTAATTGAAGGAATATTTCTTATCAAGTCAAGAGGCGATGTCGAGATCCGAACGGGGGCTGTGAAGAGGGCGGCTGTATCCCTCTTCGAAGGACGAGAAACAGGTTTGGCGAAAGAGAGGGGGCGGGAGAGAAAGAGAAAGAGAGAGAGAGAGAGAGAGAGAGCGAGAGCGAGAGCGAAGGGACTCGCGAACTGGCGTCAAGTACGAGAATAAGAGAAGGACTCACCATTAGGCTAATCAGCCGAGCATGCGGCCTCCCTCTGACGCTGGGTCAAGGGGGTTTCTATCCGTCCTCTCTGTTTCCGCAGCTTCTGCCGCTTCCACCTGCCCCCCCGATCCAACCCTCGGAACGTTTCCCCGCTCTCTCCTCCTCTCTCCGTCAACTTCGAATCATTGTTCGAACGTTCTACCGTCGCGACACTCCCGACCTGATGCGCGACCTTGACGACGAGTCTCGAAGTAACGTCGTCTCTTAAAGAGCTCGACGTCGCTCCTGCAAACTAAGCTTATCTCGAAACATGATTTTCGCTTTTCGGGAGAAAAGCGCGCATCGTCTCCGCAGATTTCGCTTCGTCTACGAAAAGCAGCGCGGCTAGACGCTGTTTGACAATGCCCTCCCTCTCGCGTTTCCTCCGAACGCGTGCGCGATATTCTTTATCCCTTAGACTCCGGGATATGCAGATGGGCTTGATAGCGTTTATGCACGACTACGGCGGTTCGGGTTCTTTGTCTTGCAAACGAGCGTTCCGTCTCTCCCCATCGCGGGGTGAACTCGACCCTCATCCCGCCCCGTTTCTGCACCGGGAACGACAGTCTCCCCACTCTCCTGATATCCCTCCGAACCAGCCACCCACTCATCCGTTCTCTCCCTCGCAGCACCAGTCGAGTACCACCGCCGACTCCGACTTCCCTTTCTCTCCGCGTTCGTGTCCCCTTTGCTCCGCGCCTCATCCGCTCCGTTCGCAGCCACCGTGTCCATTCTCTTCTCGCCGTTTCTCTCTCTCTCTCTCTTTCTCGTTTTTCTGCTCGTTTTACACGATTCTGTGAATTCTCTTCTCTTTCCGAATATATTTCTAATTAGCTGCGCTTCTCGATTTACGCTACGCGTGGATTTATTTCGAAACTCCACGGCGAAGAATGAGCGAAAGAGATGGCGGGAGAGGGGGAAGGAAAAGTGACGGAGAGGAGTAGCAAAAGAGGGTGAGATGTAAAGAGGATGGAGATGGCTGCTGACGACGGTTTCGGCATTTTGTTTCGTTTCGGGGCTTCGTCATTGATCCGCTTAATTTCTCTCTTCTCCCTCGTCGCGTTCTCTCTTCTTTGCTTACTTCTACATTCTTTCCTCTTCTATTCTCTTTGACTATCCTCTTTATGCTCTATCCTCAAGTTTTTTCGCGTTCCTTCCGTGCCGTTCTTATTTTTCAGGCAAATAAGAGACCGATTCGTTTTCTGATTTTCGCAGTGTTTCTAGAATAATTCCGAGATTTATTTTCTTTTTTCCGTCGCAAACACTGCGCAGACTAATACGTTTCTTAATGAGGATTTACGTTTCGCGACAGTTCCATGTTTTATGAGAAAAATCATTGAACTTGTTTTTGACAAATTAATAACAATCGTGACAACTATTGCAAATAAAAGCTTTATCGCAACAACTTGATTGAATAATCAATTACGATTTAATTAGCGGTCTTGGGTGGCGTTACTTTTGTACGCTTTCGTTGCGCCTCAAGTAAAATCGATATCGCGAGAACGCGAAAGGGTATGCTTGCATGCGTCGGTCTTAAGCTAAACAACCGCAATAACACGTACCACCTTGCACCGACCGCCTGCACTTGTACGAGCTTCCCGTTAAACCCCTCGTCGACGACGCGCGCCCTACTTGCTACCAGCTGCGACGTTTCGGCCGTATAATTTTTCCTAAGAGGATTTTTCCACTTTTTTCCACTACTGCATAATTAGCACTTTATTTTTTGAGCTTTGATATATCAAAACTAACAGAGCTTTTAATTTTTCCATTTAAAAGATTCTATATTTTTAAAAATGAAATGTAAAGAATAAGAGTATACAAATTTAAACAAACTTTACATTTTTATTATGCGAAAGCTAATATTATCTTTTTTATTTCAATAAAAAAACGAGCATAATAAAAAATGAGCATAATAAAAAATGAGCATAATAAAAAATGAGCATAATATTTTTTAACAAAATTTTCGAGACGTTGTGTAAAACTTTTCAAAAAAAATTTTATACAAATTGTAGCTTTGCGTTTCTCAATCTTTGTGATTTTATATGGCGCAGTTTTTAAAAGTAGAGTTGTCTGGAAACAAAAGTAGCGAAAGATAAAAGAGATTAGACAAATTAATTAATAAATAAAATTCTTTATTTTACGTCGACTTTTTCCACACCGATTCATTGTTTCCGCTCTTCCATTGCATTCATTCGGTTTCCGCAGTTGTACTACCGGTTTCCGGCAGCCGGATGGGCAGGACTGATGACGATGAGGTCTAATAGAGCGAAATAGACGAGCTCGCACGCGGTATTGGGCGAAGGTACGAGAAGTAGTTGGAAAAAAGAACTCCCGAGCACACCAGCCGGGTTAAAGTCAACTCCGGCGCTGGGAGGAAAAGAGTGGAATGAACGGAGAAAATAGGAGAAGACGAAGGAGAGAAAGGCGGAAAGGGAGTAAGAGAGAGAGAGAGGGAATATCGCGGTACACGGAACATCGGGAGCTCGAGTTGTTCGAGAATAAAAGAGTAATTTTCCGGGTGGTGAGACGCCGATAATGGGGTTGCAGACTGCCGAGTCGACTGGAAAGTGATTAAGCACACATGACGGAGCCCGCGGACTCGCCAGGATATTACGAGCCACCCCTTTCCGACCCATCGTCCTCCTCCGATTCTCTTCTCTCCTTTACTCGGCGTCTCCTCGGCGCTCCTCTTCCTCGCTATATGTTTTCTACCTCCGCGACCCT